AAACCGCATAAACACATTTCATTACACCAAATACACAAAATAATGTTCTTTTTATCAACATCATATGACCCCTTTAATAAATTAACATTTCAATAATAATAATAATAATTTAAGTAAAATAAATAAGTAATAATAAAATAATTAAGCAAAATTAATAATAAAATAATTTATATTACAAAATTTTAATTTATTAAATTATCTTTATTAAATAAATTACATAAAATAAATAAATAATAAAATACTTTATTTTGATTTATTATTGATTTATTAAATAATAATAATCATCATCACCATCATTTAAGTAAAGTAAATAAATAATAATAAAATAAAATCATTTCTTTGGATTTATTATTTATTAAATTATCTAATATTAACTTTTTCTTGTTGTTCTTATAATCATGTAAAATAAATAATAAAATATTTATTATTGATTATTTATTCAATTGTCTAACTTTTTGTTATTACTATTAATAATATACTATTAAAGAATAATAATTTCACTGCCATTGCACTCATATGTACATATGTAATGAATAAAACTGTATATCGAAAGGAAAAATACACACGCTAAGTAATCAAATTAAATCAAATAAAAACTGTCACCACACTAACAATAACACAAGCTCAACCTCCACTCTGACATCTTAAGTGGTTAAGTGGATGATGACATCAAATGAAGTTATATTCACTTAAGATGCAGGCTAGTAATTGTGTTAAGGTCCGGGGAATGGCCCTGACTCAGCACCCCTGCTCGCCCCAGTCTCTCTCAGCGCATGTTTACTCAGCTCTATCTAATGACGGCCCTTTTACAGCACTGCATTAAACTCAAGGGCTCTGGCTGCATCAGATAAATACAGCAAATCAAATAGGCTCATGTTTGCCCTGCGTCTCTCTGACAGACCCGCGGCGAGGCATTGCAGCACACTGACCAGCCTGTGTCATCCTAAAACCCTGTCAAACAGACACCCGGGGCCGCCAGTCTATCGCTGCAAATCGCAGGAAAACAAGAGCAGGAGAGAGCAAATAGAAGTTAATGAATGATACAGTGGAGAGCGTAATGACGGGCTGATAAAGGGGCCGGGGCATCATATGCGGAACTGCACGTACGGTGAAGGTCGGATTCGAGAATGGTGTTGTTGGCAAACACCCTGGCGTGTTTCGTGTATTCGGTGAAAGCTAGCGCAGGCTAACCCGAGGGCTCATGACATTAATTTCCAGAGGCTTCTTCCCACGTGGGAGGTGTGTGTGTGTGTGTGTGTGTTTGTGTGTGTGTTTTACCTTGCTCGCTCTTTCCCAATTGTTTTGTGTGGCCAGGTGGCGGGTGCTGTTTGCAGAATTATGGCACGGCTCTTTCACACGAAGCAGCTCTTGTTCCAGACGCTTGCACTGGGGAAGAGAGAGAGAAACGGGATCACTTGAATGCATTAAATCAGAATTTACCCAGGTGATTAGACCAGATAAAAGACACTTGCTTTGACACTTGGTTGCTTTTGCATTAACTAAACAAGCCAAAATGATGTTAAATGATCCTATTAGGTCACATTCAATGCACTGGTTCTGTACAGTGGGACAGATGTTTCTCAGAAATTTCCACCATGCATTATAGTTTATTATATTTACATTTTAAAACAACTGGTTGGATATTACAGTCTTACAATCTTATGTAATATAATTGTTTTTTCTGTTTTGAAGTGTGGGGGATATTATATTGACAGAATAATTTAAACTGCAAATCACTGGAGGACAAATATGATTATAACTTTTTTGAAAGCGTTTAAATAATATTTGCATTAAAGTTGGCTCAGGAACCCTGTGAAAACCAGTTGCACTACCACATGGAAAAATCATGTGTATGCAAGTCAGTTCTAAGAGAGGTGAAATCTCTGCAGGGTATAAACCTACATTCTCAGTTATTACTATATTTACTGTAAGAACCTCAGCACACACTTACTGATATTACTCTCCGTTTGTGTCTGTGATCCCTGGAGGGACAGACTCATTTGTGGTATAGTTAAAAAATAAAATCACTGTCTTTTATGAAGAAAAATATGCACGAAATTCAATGCTGTGCTGTGGAACGTCCACAGAGGGGAAAGACAAGTAGTTTAAACCACTTCAGTAACTAAGTAGTATTCATGTATTTAAAAAAATGGCAGACAACTTACTTGTGTTTGAGAGATGCCATTTTTTTTTTGTTTGCTTGTTTTTTATTACTATTATATATTCATTTATTTGCATGTACCAGTCAAATTAATAAGCAAATTTATCAAAAATAAAAAAATGAAATATATAATAAAAAACTAAAAATATTTTAAATATAAAAAAATATATATATTTTTAAAACCATGTAAATTATTTGTCAAAGGAATTATAAACTTTTTTCAATTTAACTTTCCCACTAATTGTACTAATAGTAATGTTATATAGGTACAATTAATTACATGCCAAAGCAAATTTATAAAAAAAATGAATAATTAAAAAATAATTAAATGAGTAAAAATCAACCCAAATCAAATCAAATAAATAAATAAGTAAAATTTATTGAGTAAAAATGATTGAGAATGACTAAATTCTTCATTTTTCCAACAAATTAAACTACATGTCTTTTGAGGTAAACTGTGTAAACAATGGCTCAACTAAATGTACCTAAATGAATATTATATCAAAGCAAAATATAACCATGTAAATGTGAAATTTATAATATATAATAACGCATTTTTCCAAAAGTGGCATAAGGCAAAGTGGTTTTACATGCTTCAGGGTAAACTGCCAGTGTCAGTCGCTCAAATACTATAAATACTAAAACAATTATAAACACAAAATGATAAAAAAAATCGTTTCACTACATTCAGATATAACCGAGTAGTACTTTTAATCAATACCACAAGTGCCTATACATAATTCCTTATTCACAAAGCCTATCCTCATTTTCCCATACAGTACGAGGCTCTCTGGCCAGCTGTCAGACAGACAAACAGGCGCTTTAAACACACACTGACATGACCAGCTCTTTGGTGGGTATTATTGTAAGCGGGCTTGTTTTCTACCAGTCCATATGTGCTCCTCTCCATGTGCACATTCCAGGATCGACGGACACTTACCAGGAATGTAAACCATCCTCACGGCCTGACGAGTCCCAATGTTTCAACATTCAGCCGTCTCAAAGAGTAGCGCCCGTGCAAACAAGCCTCTCAGCCACCGACCCCACTCCTGTCTCTTTCCTCTGCAGACTAAAATAATACCACCGACGTCCAGACAAAACACACAGCTCCTCTTTAGTGTCAGCCTGAGTTATGGTTCTCGGGCAGCAGATGTCTTTTAGAGGGAAACGTATTTTAATCAGAATGCACCTCTGCGGTGACGCAAAAGGCAGTTAGCGCACCAAAAATAGCTGCAGTTGGGGCGAAATGGGGCGTAGGAACAGACATATTAATCTATTTGAACTTTTTAATCCATATTAAAAAGCACAACAACACAAGAGCATGAATGAGAGGTCTGAACCACGTGACATGTTCTACGAGCATAAAAAAAAAAATCAGCAGAATACCTCAAGCCAACCTTAATTCACCACGAGATGCGACTTCATTTCCTCTCTCACTTTAACAATCAGCACTCTATCAAGATCAAGAGAAATTCAATAAGCGCCCGGCACAGGGACATAACGAAGCAGATCTTATTCGCCGCATTAACTGTGAGGAGAGGATGGAAGTGAGAATAAGATTTATTTCCTCCAGCACTTATCCAGCTTTTCATATTCCGGCAGGCCAAAGGGATGTGGCGGCCCTCTGCCTGCAGCCGGGCTCTAATCCCTACGAGATGAGGAGAGAGATGGGAGGAACGGCAGGGGAGGGAGATATCCTTGAGCATAGAGAGAGGACCCATTCCAGTCTCTGAGGGATTTGGCGTGGGGTTTGCAACTTACTTCTGAAATTGCTCCACAGATTCAGGTTTTTGGCCCCAATGAAAACGCAGTTTTCAGTTTGGCGGTGATGTGCTGGTGGGCTTTAGGCGTTAGGAGTTAGAAGACTGACACCTGACCTGTTCATATCAGAAAGGTTGACACAGGTTGTCATGGTTGGCTTTCCAGCTGAATTTGTGTGCATGACAGGATTTATTTTATGAATCTGGCCTACCTCCAATAAAGGACTCAGTCAATCGGAAGACTCTGAGTGATACATTTACACTATGAACAGAGCAAAAACTAACCATAAGGTCTCAATTAATCAATTTTTTCACAATACTTTTTGGTGTTCCCTAATTGTATTTTATTTTTTTTAATAAAACAAGTCCTTTTACATTCTTTGAACATATTATTTAGACAAATTAAATGGCCTATAATAGCATATCTATAATAGCATATGTGACCCTGGACCACAAAACCAGTCATAAGGGTCAATTTTTTGAAATTGAGATTTATACATCATCTGAAAGCTTTCCACTGATGTATGGATTGTTAGGACAGGACAATATTTGGCTGAGATACAACTATTTGAAAATCTGGAATCTGAGGGTGCAAAAAAATCAAAATACTGAGAAAATCGCCTTTAAAGTTGTCCAAATGAAGTTCTTAGCAATGCATATTGCTAATCAAAAATTAAGTTTTGATATATTTACAGTAGGAAATTTACAAAATATCTTCATGGAACATGATCTTTACTTAATATCCTAATGATTTTTGGCATAAAAGGAAAATCGATAATTTTGACTCATACAATGTTTTTTTTGGCTATTACTACAAATATACCCCAGCGACTTAAGACTGGTTTTGTGGTCCAGGGTCACATATCATGTTAAAAAAAGTCATTATAAAATATATTTTAAAAAGTAATAAAAAATATACACTTTGTGGGTCAGTAAGACTTTTTTTTATTATTAAATTAATACTTTTATTAATTCATTAAGGACTTATTAATTCAGCAAGGATGCATTCAATTTATTAAAAGTGGCTGTAAAGACATTTATAATGTTACACAAGATTTCTGATCCAAATAAATGCTGCTCTTTTTAACTTTCTATTCATCGATGTTTCTTGAGCAGCAAATCAGCGTATTAGAATGATTTCTGAAGAATCATGTGACACTGAAGACTGGATTAATGATGCTGAAAATTCAACTTTGCATCACAGGAATAAATTTAATCTTATAATATTTTTAAATAGAAAACAATTATTTTAAATTGTAATAATACTGCACAATATTACTGTTCTTACTGTATTTGTAATCAAATAAATGTACACTCTAAAAAATGCTGGGTTGTTTCAACCCAACTTTGGGTCAAATATGGACTAACCCAACCGTTGGGTTAAATTTTTACATTAAATTTTTAACCCAAAAGTTGGGTTAGTCCATATTTGACCCAAAGTTGGGTTGAAACAACCCAGCATTTTTTAGAGTGTAGCACTGGTGAGCTTTAGAGACTTCTTTGAAAAAATACTAAATATTATAAAGCCAAACTTTTGAGCAGCATTGTATTTTTTATTTAATTAATTTTTTTTTTGTATGCCACAAATTATGGCAATAAAGTCATAATCTCTGCAGTGAAGGCAGAAATAAGTCAGTTAGGTGGTCTGGTTACTCTATAGTTAAAAGTCTGAGTTTTACAGGCTATGATGTATATGTGCCAGAAATAAGACTATGTTTCCTATGTCACTTGGCTTTTAAGGACCAAAGCAGGTCCCCACAAGAAGATGGAAATCATTCCAATCAAAAATATTCCTGCGAATCCAACCACATAAATATTAGAGCACATTATACCTGGCAACCACCAACACAGATGAATTTACCATCAAATGAAGAGTTTCCTTTTTTACTCTTTATCTACACTATGCTTTGTTGCAGAATTTTATTTCTAAAATGTCAACATTTTAGCCAGAATCGCCCATGTTTTTGTATTGTATTGCATCACTCTTATCTAATAAACAACACCTCATTTAATATTGATTACAGTAAATTATCAATCTAAAATACTGAGTGTCACAAGTCTGGTAAACCAAATAGTCAGAAAGGTCTCGATAACCTGTACCATCACACCTGATAAAAGTTACAACACACCCTACCCACTGACCCAAAACAACACTGGGAATGACTGTCAGATACAATTCTTTGTCCAAATAATAAAATCAACCACATTATATAACACCAATTATGAAACGGAGGCAGCATTTATCAACAAAGAAATCCCAGCAAATACATCCACTGCCCCACACTTGAACTCTATGATGAAGCTGAATACCTGGATGTCAATATTTAGCTACCTGCTTGTTTGTTTTCATTTGATTGAATTATGTGTGTAGGAACGATATACCAAATATTTGAGGTTATGCAGCAATATTTGTCCCTACATGTGAATTAGGTAGCTTGTGTGTTGATTCTTAAATCAGTGCAGGATCTGTGAATAAACACAGATGTATGTGCTTTAATAGACCAATAATCAAAGTCATCTTGCAGAGCAGTTAAATAACGCAGGAGGAGAGATAGTCAATATTTAGAGAGTCATATTAGTTTTTTTTTTTCTATAGTGTAAAGGTTTCTGGCTTGGCACACAACCACTGTGAATGGAGTGTTTAGGGCTGGTGCGTGTTAGGATTGACCCTTAGCGGAGAAAAAGTGCGTGCCGTAGGTTTGTACCCTGGTTAAAGCAGCATCTCTCTCCTCTATGACGGCTTTCATCTCCTCTGAGGTGATCTGGGAGCGACGCTCTCTGGCCCTCTGGATCTGTTCGATGATGGCCGTCCCGCTCTGCTCGATAGCGAGGGCAGAGTCTGCACTGTTAACCCTGTTCAACAACTCCTCCAGGTCCTGACCAAAACATACAAAATGTTAAATGCCATTTCAAATATCAGTTAAACACATATTAAAGGAATAGTTCACACAGAGATGACAATTTACTGACAATTTACTCTCCCTAAAATGAGTAAATTAGTTTCTTCATCAGAACAAATTTGGAGGAATTTAGCATTACATCATTTGAACGAGATGTTTTTAAATTCAAACCATTGCTGACGGCTAAAATATGAGTTCTCTATCCACAATATTGCTTTCTCCAGTGAAAAAGTTGTCTTGTCTGAATCAGGAGAGAAATATGCACAGACCAAGCACTGTTTACAAGAGAAAAGAGTCCAAAACGGTTCTTAACAAATATGTGGGTGGATTTTGATGTGAGTGGACAATAAGGGATGGACTTTTTCACTGGAGGAAGCGTTATTATGGATTATGGACTGGCATTTTGGCCAAAAGCTAAAATGCCTTAAAGGGATAGTTCAACCAAAAATGAAAATTTGATGTTTATCTGCTTACCCCCAGGGCATCCGAAATGTAGGTGACTTTGTTTCTTCAGTAGAACACAAACGAAGATTTTTAACACAAACCGTTGCAGTCTGTCAGTCATATAATGGAGGTGAATGGGAATCACGGCTTTGAGAGTAAAAAAAACATACACAAACAAAACCAAATTAAACCCTGCGGCTCGTGACGATACATTGATGTGTAAAGACACGAAACGATCGGTCTGTGCAAGAAACTGAACAGTATTTATATAATTTTTTACCTCTGATTCACCGCAATGTCCGAACTGTTCGAGCCGTGATTCCCATTCACCTCCATTATCAGACTGACAGACTGCAACGGTTTGAGTTAAAAATCTTCGTTTGTGTTCTACTGAAGAAACAAAGTCACCTACATCTTGGATGCCCTGGGGGTAAGCAGATAAACATCACATTTTCATTTTTGGGTGAACTATCCCTTTAATGATGGATTTGATTCTTACAAACATGCAGCATTTCACTTCACAAGGCAATAATGTTGGACTGGAGTGGTGTGGATTACTTGTATTCTGACAGCACCCATTCACTGCAGACCATCCATTGGTGAGCAAGTGATGTTGCAAAAAATTTGTACATTTCTCCATGAAGAAATAAACTCATCTACATCTTGGATGGCCTGAGGGTGAGTACATTTTCAGCCAATTTTAATTTTTGGGTGAACTATTCCTTTAAGATTTAATAACTATTAATTTCTTTTAATTGTTCTGACACTGACATTGCCACACCTTAATTTTATTCAGAGGCCCAAAATGAGCAAATATGCAAAAATATGCAATTTAGTGCAGTTGCAGATATTTATATGGCCAAACAGTAAGATGAAATTCTGATTGCTTGTAAATCAATGACATCTTTATAAGAGTACTGCAGACTACTTGCATTAAATGCATATAAATATCAGCTGTCACTCTGTATCTCTTAATAATATGTCTGAGTACAATGATATTTCAATACTTAGTTTAATGGTCAAAGCTCTGTATGCAATGCAGTACAATGATGATTGAGAGATGTACAAATAATAATAATTGTGCATCAATATGATGATACAGAAGGCTTTAAACGGTTAAATGCAGTTGGAATTACTCCTGAATTTGTAATGGATGGCATAACTACAGCAACATTTTGGCATCTCACTACTTGTGTACAAGAAACATAGATGCCAGTAACCACTTATTTGCTATCTTTGATGAAAGAAACAGCAACTTGAGATGTTATGTCAATCAATTATTAGCAAACCACTGTCAATAGAGGCATGATTTAAGGTATCATTTATGTTCATGCGCAATAGATGCACAGAAAATTAAGAAATCTTTCATCAGAATAAGCATCAAAAAAAGCCTTTCCTGAGGTTGTGTTTTCATTTATGACAGTTGGACAAAAAGGGTACACAGAACAATCAAGAGATGAAATTCTCCAGTGAGGAAGGCTTACCACATCACTTTCTTCAGGTTTAATATTCTCCAGCCTGGAGAGAGATGGAGAGAGAGAAAAAAATGTGTGTGAGAGAGAGAAATAGAGAAATGAAATGTAGTGAGCTTCCTTGAGTTTCCTTTATGTCACTCTGCAAAATGAGATCACTTCCCAAATCCAGTAATTGCATTCTGTGGGTTTTGGTATGAAAGCAGAAGACACACTCAGAGATATTAAAAGTGCCACCGCTCGAGCTGTTATTCCACTGTAATGCCCATTCTGCTCAGAACTGACAGCGAATTGTTAAGTTATTAATGTTTACTACTTTATATGACTATTGGGATCAATTGTTCATATGTGTGGGGAAACGGAGAGATGGATTAGGCCTGAACCTTTTGTGCCACACCTGCCATGAGCATCTTTATAAAGGCAAAGACAACAGTAATTATGGAGCCAAATGCCTGGAGACACACGGATCACACACTGTTGGAAATATTTATGATTTTGAAGGTTTTTCATATGGACCTTGATAACAAATGCAGAGTCACAAAGACTTGACCTTGGCTAATGTAGATCAAAGGCATGACAAGTCAAAGCTTGAGGTTTTGCAATAAATGTATGAAACATATACAGTGGGGTCCAAGAATCCAAGAAGAAGAAAAAAACTGCAAGTACATTAATTATCATTTAACAAAGCTGTATGGTTAAAAAAATGTAAACAAAATGATGATCATGTAAAATGAATAAAAAATATGTCAATTTAATTACTAAAACAAGTTTAATATTTCTAACATTATTTAAAATTATATACAAAAAAATCAAAATAATAAAAAATATGTACATACTACCATTCAAAAATGTAGTGTTGGCAATATATTTTTATTGTTTTTTTTTTTTTAAATGCTCACCAAGGCTGCATTTATTTGATAAAAAAATCTAGTAAAAACAGTAATATTTTGAAATACTTTTTACAATTTAAAAGAAAATTCAGTTTTCTATTTGAATATATTTTAAAATGTAATTTATTCCTGTTATGCAAAGATGAATTTTCAGCTTCATTACTCCAGTCTTCAGTGTCACATGATCCTTCAGAAATCATTATAAAATCCTGATTTGCTGAATTTTGTGGAAACCGTGATCCATTTTTTTTCAATATTCTTTGATGAATAGAAAGTTCAAAAGAGTTCAAAAGAATTCATTTAATATAGAAATCTTTTGTAACATTATAAATGTCTTTACTGTCACTTTTGATCAATTTAATGTATCCCTGCTTAGATTAACTTCTTTATAAAAACCATACCGACCCCAAACTTTGGAACGGTATTGTAGATACAACATATAAGCTCTCCACTGTATATTTGTACTGCCACATTTTCACTGGTTTCAGTGAGAAACAACAGCAGGTGAACTGCAGAAACTCGCCCTGCCTACTTTTACAGACCCCACCAGCGTGATGCTCCTTTAAGAGCAAATCGAATTCATCCATCAGCCACCAGGCAGAAAAAACAACAACCCCTCCACTCATTTACAAAGGCATTACATGGATCTCCATCCATTATAAAGGTACATACTCATTCACACAATGGACCCAAGAGTGACCTCCGAAAATATAGGCTTAGAACACATGCGTCCATATTCCCTCAAAGATAATGGGATTCCACTTGGATATCAATTATCTTTTTTTTTGAGAGAGGGGCCGGAATGGAGCCCTTGAACAGCTATAAGAGGGACGCGATTTTATAATTAGATTTTGACGAGATCTTGCACTCATTGGGCAGCCAGAAAATGCATTTCATGCCTCTCGATAATTGCGGTTCGTTTGAGTGACTTGAGTAACTATCAATAAATCATGAGGCCGACTGAAATATTAAACAGGGTGTAAGGTTATATGAATACCTCTGGAAAAGGACGTCAAGCAATAAAGAAGAGCGTAAACTCATCTGTAAATTTAAAATATGTTATTGCATACTCATATATGTTGTTGTTTTTAAAAACCACAAACAGTGCTGAACAGGATATAAATGCATCTATCCCCTGGAGGGCACAGGGCAATATTCGTTTTAAAAGGCCCGTCATCAAACAACAGCACCAGTTATGAGCAGTTAAACATACAAGAAGAAGATCATATTAATTAGGACCCAGCAGGCAGGGTGGTAAATGGTAAATACTCACAGGCCTAAAGCACGGGATTGATTTCCTACAGAGTGGAACTTCTGACTGACAACCTAGTACAAGGATGAGGGGACTCTTAAAAATGTCACACCCCTCTGATATATTTCCAAACCAGTCGATATGGGATTTCCCCTCAAACCCTTGTCTGTTCATTCAGCTTGTCCTCTAGCAGGAAGAATAAAGCTGCTTCCCATCGCAACGATGAGCAAAGCCACGTGCCTCTCGTGCTTCTCAAACCCTTAAATCCACTGCCTTTAAAAAACGCTGAGAAACTTTAATGGCTCTTGGAAGTGTGGAAACAAAACCTCAGGCTTTCCATTTATCACAACACAAAAGCATCTGGACCATAAAGTAAGCTTCTGAGTTATCCATTTATCAATGATGAGTTAAAAGAAGACATTAAAGAAGTTTATCAGACATATTATAATGTCACCAAACATAATCCCTTTTCACTACTTCTATTAATAGGTACAACAGAGGAAAAAAAAAATGAGAAGAGAAATGAGATGCGTTGAGATTTATCAAACTCTACTGACTGTAAGAGCACTAAGGCTGGGTAACATTTTGAATATATTGCAAATAATTAATATCTTCAATATTCAAAATGTATTTTTGGCAATCTAAAATATTGCTAAATTTTCACAGCCATCAAACTACTTAAAGATTGCTCCTTGTGTCATTAGGAAAGCTCTACATTACAACAGATATTTTAATTGTGATTTTAAATTATTTTGAGTTTCCATTTATTTTCAATAAGTCTTTTAAACTACAGTATTGGTTTCAGTGAATTGGTAAAAAAAAATGTTGCAATACCACTCAAATAAGTTTTCAAACTGTAAAGCATGAACTGATAAGTTGTCTACCATGAATGCAATGTAAGTCGCTTTCGATAAAAGTGTCTGCCAAATTCATAAATGTTTTTACATACCCATTCAAAAGTTTGTGTATTGAAAGACATATCTTAAAGCTCACCAAGGCTGAGTAAAGCCTTTACTGTCAATTTAATATATCTCTGCTAAATAATGTATTCAATTCTTCTTACTGACCCCAAATTTTGGAACCGTAGTGTATATATGGAGATATATAGGGAATAATGTAGCTGCATCGCCCAGCCTTAATCAGCACCGAAGCTCAACATGTCTAGACCACTAAGCCAGGGCTTCAACAAACAATGGGCCTCTTTTACAAAAGTAATGTTTCTGTGTAAATCATTCGTAAAATCATTCTGACATAAACAATTTTCAAGTCAAAGTGACAATTTACAAACGACTTACACAGAAATTCATTCGGCTCCTGTTTTATAAACAAAACCCAATGAGTATCATTAAACAGACAATCATCAGCCTAATTTGAGTACGATGGCACAACTTTATAGACAACTTGGCAGATTATTGATTTTCATTTTTTTGAGGTGCTCCTTTGAGAGAATAGAAATGATTAGAGCAGCATGTTGTTGAACAGGCTGAACTGATGCTCTGTTTTGGAAGAGGTTTGAATGGCACATACTCCAGCGTCGCCTCCTGAAGCTTCTTTGCCCGAAGTAAAGCTTCATCCCTCTCCTCATTAGCCAGATGCAGTCTGGCCATCACAGCCTGGTCTCTCTCCCTTTGAGCCTTATAGATTTCCTCGACTAACGCTGAGAGAGAGAGAGAGAGAGAGAGAGAGAGAGAGAGAGAGAGAGAGAGAGATTATTATTCTGGTATTGCACTCCAGTGCTCCAGCTGCACAATAACAAGGCTAAGCTCCTCGGGAAAGAGGTTATTGCAGTTGAAACACTATGGCATAAGTATTAATAACTCTAAGTGAGCCTTATTTTGAGAAGACAGTTTACCCTGGGGAGGTATGCGTGTGTGTGTGTGTGTGTGTGTGTGTGTGTGTGTGTGTGTGTGTGTGTCCGTGAGTGTGTGTGTGTGTGCACGACTGCCCAGAGCAATAAAAACAGCAGCAACACCCTGAAGTCAGAGTTCCAGGCTCTTGGAGACTTGGAGACATTTTATTTATGAAATTTCAGCATGGAAACACTCTGGTTTATCAACATTGTACGGGAACAGCAAGCAATTACACCAGGCTCATGAATGTCAGAAACCATCAGAAAAATATCCTCATATAGGAGGACAAACATGACTGTGTTTGACCTACAGGCCTCAGAAGGTCCACGGGCATGCTGTCGTACGCATTTCCAAAACAATATTGGAAATTAAGTCCCCTAGAGAATGAATGAACTAATGAATGAACAAACAAGCAAATGAACAAACAAATGATTAATGGGTCCAAGGGCATACTGACGAGTCTCCAAGAATCTCCAAGCAATACTTGAGAAAAAGGCTGCTATCAAATATATATTACTAAATGAATGAATGAATAAATCAACAAACACACAACCAAATAACGATTGAATGAATGCATGAATAAATGAATGAATAAATAGGCCTATGGCAAAGCAATATTGACTGCTAGCAAACATAAATGACTGAACGAAAGAACAAACTAACACAAAAGAATAATGAATAAACAAATAAATAAATGAACAAACTAACAAGTAAAAACAAGCAAAAAATGAACCGTGAGCCAATTTCCAAAGCATAATTATATACAAAAACACAAGCAAATATAAATTACTGACTGACCAGACAAACAAACAAAAAGAAATGAATAAATGAATTAACAATTTAACAAATAATATCAATAAAATGACAAATTAAATAATGGAAGTATCCATGAGTCCAATGCATTATTACACACAAAGGCAGCTAGCAAATATTAATGACTGAACAAACAAACAAACAAACAAATGAACAACTGAATGAATGAATGCAAAGAAATGAACCAATAAATAAATAAACGTATGAACCAACAAGCTAAATTATCTATGAACCAATTTCTAAAACCTTATAACACACAAAGGCTGCTAGCAAATATTAAAGGGGTCATATGATGCGATTTCAAGTTTTCCTTTCTCTTTGGAGTGTTACAAGCTGGTTGCTGCCACTGCCGCTGCCATGTTGTGAAGACACTGTGTGTTTCGTTGCAAAAGCGAAAATACTTTGTTTGGTCTTCCAAAAGAGGACACGACTAGAAATCAGTGGTTAAGTTGTATTTACAACACTGTTCCAGAACAGTTCAACCCAAATATTCAGATGTGAGCAACGCATTTTATGGAGGACTGTTTCCTGATCCTGGGAGAGTAGACTACAATGCCGGTGTTCTGACAAATAATGCTGACTCGCAGCCTGTAAGTACGTTTTCATATTTAAAGGATTTGCCACTGATGATTCAAACGTGAGTTTTGAGCAGTGTAGAGTAGCGCTTGTTGTTTGTCATTTCTCCGATCACAAATGCAGACATGGTTTTATGTTTGTGCAGCGCGATGCAAATCAACGCGTAAAAAGACAGTATAAGTCATTATAATCCGTAATTATGTCCCCACTGGATGCAACAAATGCCTCGTCTTCAGAAAGGCGGGGCATAGAGGAGAAACAATAATGTACAGTATGTGGAAAATTATGTTTTTTTTTTACCTTAAACCGCATAAACATATTTCATTACACCAAATACACAAAATGTTCTTTTTATCAACATCATATGACCCCTTTAATGACTGAACAAACATACAAACAAACAAACAACTGAACAACTGAATGAATGAATGCAAAGAAATTAACCAATAAATAAATAAACGGATGAACCAACAAGCTAAATTATCTATGAACCAATTTCTAAAACCTTATAACACACAAAGCCTGCTAGCAAATATAAATGACTGACTCACTGAGCGAACAAATGAACAAATGGACAATCAAGCATGAATGAATGAATGAATAGCAAATGAAATAATGAACTAACAAATTAAATGATCCATGATCCAATTTGCAAAGCATTATTACAGTCCAAGGCCACACCAAGAAATAAAGGAATTAATTTATTAAAATGGACAAAGGACACATGAATGAACAAAATAACAGACAAACAAACAAACAAAGAAGGTATAAAGAAATGCTTGAATGAAAACAAAATAAACAAACAAGCAGACTCCAGCTAAGAAAGTTTTGATCAAACATGCACTGATTTTAATTCACGCACCCGACCTGATCTGCACCAAACTCAAAAATCAAGCAGACAGTTTGGTAAAAACCACAGGATTTTGGCATTACCAAACGGTCCTTGGCACCATCTCTAATCCCACCGAAAGCAGCAGTTATCCATCACTCGCATCAATTCTTTCCTGCATGTTACGATAAACAGTCATTCCCACACTAAGCCACTACAAAGTTCACAAAGCAAATCAATATTGCTGGAATTTGCTGATTAAACATCTCCAACCTGAACCATACAAATCTTATTGAAATGAGGGCGGTGAATACATGCATTATCATTGCCTTATTAAATGAACAATTTGGCTACCTAATTGTGTCATATATATCATGTGTCACATGTTTCCGTTTAATTAACAAACTCTGAGGTGGCGCTTTTTAGCTAGTTAAGATCAAATGAAAAGTGAATATTGGCTAAATTTAAATATTTGTTCAGCAAAGGTGAGGAGCGTGTAGATTTCATTGACAAAATAATCAGTTACAGAGAGGAATGATCACTTCTGATGAAGGCGCTTTATGTTAGACATACTGGTTTATGTTTACAAATGTCAAAGTGTGCTTTTCTCGGGTTCTGCTGACATGTACTAACTAATTAATTAAAAAGTGTTTATTCTTCAGCTGTGTTGGAAGGTCAGACGTTTGCATTTAGAGATCTATGCAATGTCACACCTCACATTAAACACATAAAAAAGGTAAATGCTGCCATATTAAATGAGTCTACTTAATCTTGATTCTTTCCAACCATTTATATTTATTTCTTCACCCATGTGTCCTACCTGCTGCTCTCTCACTGGCACACGCCTCCTGCTCAGCCTCCTGTAGCTGAGAGTCCAGCAGCTTGGTTTCCAACTCTTTCTCCTTCAGCGCCAACCTGTCCTGGAGCTGCAAACACACAAGACATAAGTATAAGTTTATAACGGAGTTCATGAGGTCAACAAAATAAATAAATAAACGACATACCTGCTTGGTAGATAAACACTCATTTTTGTTTCGTTTGTGTCACTTCCACATTCTACCAAAAACTATAAATTAATAATAAAATTGTATGAAACTGCAGAACATTTCAGGTCATAAAATTCACCCAAAATGCTTACCAAGGCTGCATTTGGTCAGAAATACAGTAAAACGGTAATACTGTAAAATGTTATTATAATTGTACAATGTAATTTATTCCTGTGATGCAAAGCTGAATTTTCAGCATCATTACTTCAGTCTTTAGTGTCAAATGATCTTTCAGAAATCACCACTCAAGAACCATTTCTTATTATTATCAATGTTAAAAAACAGTTGTGCTACTTAATATTTTTGAGAAAACTGAGATTTTTTTTCAGGATTCTGCAATTAATAGAAAGTTCAAAAGAACAGAACTGTTTGAAATAGAATTTTGTAGCAATGTTTTATTGTCACTTTTGATAAATTTTGTGTCCTTGCTGAATAAAAGTATTCATTTCTTTAAAAAAAAAAAAACTCACCCCAAGTAAAACATTGTAATGGTTTAATTTTAAATAGGTTTAATTTTCTTTATGCAGAAAATAAAGTTTTGATGTGAATTATGACCTGAATATCATACTGTATATTGGCATCTGTTGGCCACACTTTCAATGAAAAACTCATATCAGCCAACCACAACTTTATAACCACTGCATCAAGCTTTTGTATTTGCACTACTACATCATATGATTCAGGACTTATAAAAAAAGAGGAACTGTCATGTCTTGGCTGTAAATCTGGATTGGTGAGTGATATTTTACAAGCCTCTCAATGATAGATTTAACCTCCTGTCTTAAATATTTTCATCCCGTCTGTTTTTGTCCTCCCGGACTTTGAAAACATGACGGGTTGGGCCAGAGTCCTCAAAGGGCTCTCTCAGATCACTGCCAGCAAAAACACACACTTGGGACATGTTCCTGCCCTTCCGTTAGGAGTCACAACTACTTGCAAACCGGGGACATCAATTACAGTCGTTTCCCCCCCTCCCTGACCCCTCAAGTGACAGGTCTCCAGATGGGTGCAGATATGCCACATACACTGACTAACACAATTTCAAGGCTCTACTCCTACGTCCCGAAAGAACAACGATGGAGCAAGAATATATAAAGCAGAATGCAATGCAGTTTACTAGAGGTCAACAACTACTTCTGCCCTCTTAGATTTCTGTCCCTTCCTGGCCACCTGATGTATAGTGATGACTTTTTACAATGCAATCAACCTCTGATGAATTCAACTAAATCCCGCCATCACATTATAGAAGTAAAATGAGTTGTAAGCACAAACTTCACAGATAGTAAACACTTATCTTCACAGATATTAAACATTTTCAAGTACTGCACTACCCACAATCGCAGAACTCACTGTTACCATGGAAACAGAAATTGTTGCAATCAGCACAGCATTGAGTTTTTTCAACCCAATGCCGACTAGCTTGGCAACATTTGCTAACAAAAGCTAGCTACCTACCTAAAGTTAGTTAGTTAATATGGAATGCATGGTTAGAGTATAAAGGACACTAGTGCCATTAGATAATAAAACGACAGATTGAGTGTGAACTGCAAAGGTATGTCAATGTTTGCTAACTTAAGCAGATCTGCTAGGAAAGACACATATGAAATAATTTTAGCAAAATGAGTTGTATCTGTGTTCATGTAGTGAAAACGAAACAAAGTAATGGCACGATCCTGTCTGACCTGGAATTTCGAATCTATAAGTCTATGTGGCTGTTGTAACTTTTTAGGTTAAATTAATGCAGCAAAACAACAACTGAAATATGTTGAAACTTTCAGAGTGTTGAAAACTTTTCATGAAGCACAAGACTAACAACCTAAATTTCAAAAAGAACGCTAGTCTAGTCTCTGATTGGATGAGCGGATTACAAAACAAATCAATCAACGAGTAAAAATGTAGACCGTAGTGAAGGACTAATAAACCTAAATAAAATTTTCGACAGGAATGAAAAAAAGGATGTGAGGGATAGAAGTACCGTGCGTTCAATGGATTGTACTGTTGTTTAACAACATACTGATTGTTCAACTAGCAAAACATCTTTCTGAAAAAATTTTCACTAGACAAAAACGCCATAAAACAGTTTTGAAAGTTGAGAGTTGTGAAAATTACATGAACCAGTACAAGACTGTAAGTCTATCCCTCACGGCCTCGTTTTAAGTTCGTGTTAAGATCGGAAACAGAATGACTGACTTCATGAACATGTGAATTCACCTTCTTATTGAGGTCTCTAAGGGAATCCAGCTCCTTCAGGAGAAAAGCAATGTTTTTCTCTCTATCCAGAACTGGGACTTGCTTTTTGGAGTCACTGATAACTTTGGAATTTCCCTGGTCCTCATGAGCATGAGCATGCCTTCAGAAAAGACAAAAGTTCATTAGAAATACTCTTATATTAAACTCCCAAACGGGCAACAAAAAATGAATCATTCACATTCTGACATGCAATTATCAAATACACAAGGGATGCGGTCTCCCACTTTCAAGAATATTACTGTGACTTATTTACTTTGAGATATTAGTCAAATCATACAGTTGACCTTTAAGGTAATATTAAAGTATTACTGCACTGTATTGCACGGTAAATTACTTCCCTCTTGTAGCCTCTTCAATTTGATTCAGTTCTTATTAAGGAGGCAAAGAAAATGCATTGGAATCTATATTTATAGATTCACGCTGCGATATAATTAAAATCATCTTACAATGGACAACCATGCTAAAAGTGAATATTACTGCTATATTCATATTCTATAAAGGCCTTCTCGATAGTACTCAAGACAGATTAAACTAAACAACTGTTGCATATGTTTGCAATGGCACACTATCTACTATTTTTTAAAGAAATTAGTAGTATGCAATATGAATACTTTGCACAGTATGCAAATTTTAGTACACACAGAAGAGTTGGATGACCTACTACATTTGTGTGGTATAACATTATATACACCATTATAACATATATATTATAACAAATACACCATTTATTTGTTACAATTATTTATTATTAGAATTATATTACATATATATTATATTACATATTACTACAACGGCCCGGTCCTGCAGATTTGCTTTATAAAACATTAGAAAGATTAGACCCTTCCTATCAGAGCAGGCCACACAACTCCTTGTCCAAGCTCTTGTTCTCTCCAGACTGGACTATTGTAATGCTCTCTTACGGGCCTTCCTGCATGTACTATCAAGCCTCTGCAACTGATCCAGAATGCAGCAGCGAGAGTTGTCTTCAACGAGCCGAAGAAAGCCAACGTCACAACTCTCTTTATCAGTTTGTACTGGCTGCCAATAGCCGCTTGCATCAAATTCAAGGTACTGATGCCTACAAGACAACTACTGGCTCTTCTCCAATATACTTAAACTCACTAGTTCAGACTTATGCGCCCTCCAGAAGCTTGTGTTCTGCAAGTGAACGACGCCTCGTGGTGCCATCCCAAAGAGGCACAAAACCACTCTCACTGACCTTTTCTTAGACTGTTCCCAGCTGGTGGAACGACTCAATTCCAGCAGCGGAGTCTTTAGCCATTTTCAAAAAACGTCTAAAGACACATCTTTTCATCAGTATCTGACCAATTAATACTAGCACTTACCTATTCTATTCATTTTTTCTAATTTATAAAAAAAAAAAAAACCTTGCTATGTGTACTGTGCTAGACTAACTGAGACTTGTCACATCACTTGTAATCTGTTGCTCTCTTGTTGGTCTGATTGCTTCTATAGTTATCCTCATTTGTAAGTCGCTTTGGATAAAAGCATCTGCTAAATCATTAAATGTAAATGTATTAAAGCAGTGAGATTACATGACAAAAAACAAAGCATTATTGTTGTTTATCATTACATACTGATTTCCATTCAATTTTATTTTATTTTCATTTAACACATTTTACATTAATGTACAAACGTTGCAACCATAACATATAAGACTTCCATTCTTCTGCTGTGAGATTACAGTCTGACCGTTTGAAAGGCAGCTCTGTTGGTTGGTTTGCGTCAGCTTTCTGAAAAGGAAACTAGGTCTGGCTGTCTTTCACGAGGGACTGTGGCGATCCGCGCCGAGTGACTGGCAGGGAAAACAAGGTCTTCTGTCAATGTTTCTGTAGCGCTCAGGGCCAGAGATACAGGCGGAGAGGCAAACACAGAGGCCTGTCTCTCTGGCAGCCTTTCTGAAAACATGCTTTTCTCCTTAGGGAAAGCTGGATGTAACCCGGATCGTTTGTGATCAAAACCAAAGAGTGACGGCCCCTAAATCAGAGACATATTAAACAAGTGCAAATTTGTGATGACAAAACTGGTCAAGATAGAGACTTGAAAGATACAACAAATGTTGAAATTGTGAGAAGCAGAGGGTGTATAAACTACTTTTAAAGGTAAAGTGCATAATTTCTAGGTAAAAACAATGTCTTTTAAACAGGTTTCCTGAAGTTGTCTGCCATTGGTCAGCCAAACAGATACTCCCTCCCCCAAATTCACACCATTGGTTGAGTGTTGCTGGGTGGGGCTGGTCGGGATGCTCAACAAACAGATCAATGTTTTGATAACGCCACAAAGCCACAATGTTTGCACATTTCAGTGGAATCAACCTACAAATGGTTTCCTTACAGCAGGAAAGAAAAATTACACACTTCAGCTTTTACATCTACAAGCAAATTAAACAGATAGTAGCACTAAGTGAAAGCACAAGGTCAAGTGCTACACAAAAAAGCCGCCTGGCCGTCCTGCGATTATAAAATATACATAAATCAGTTCAACATCAGTGCAATTCAAATTGAGCAAAACTCAAACAACAGAGCGCTTAAATCAAAAGCATCAAAAAGGGGGAATCATTCGGCATTAATAAATGAGTTGTGATGCTCGAGTCTTGCAACCACGATGTCCAAAAAGCTCCAGCTTAGCCGCCACAATTATTTAGCAAAAGGTCAGGTTTTGAAGTCGAGATCAGGGAGGTCTGCCTCATGGCTTTGTTGCTAGGGCTCTGCTCTCAGGATCGCTGGAGACAGTTATTAGTATTCCCCGTAAGACTCACCCGTGCAAACACGAAATTCAAACCATGAATAATAACGCCAAACACACTTATAGAAGCCCTTTGTCACACTGCAAATATGCGACTTTTGGATACATTGTTCCCTAACCTGGGTTACTTCTTTAATTTTATCTCCCTCTCCGGGTGTCTCTCACGCTGCATGTTTTGTTTCAAAGTAAAGCAAGGACATGAAGCAAATATCAAAGACCTTCAAGAGTTCTGACCCAAAGAGGACAGACTTTTTACAAGTCATATTCTCCTGCAAAACAAACACAACAATCAGTGTCAGACGTAAATAAAAATACTACTAAATTTGCAATATATATTGCTTTTAAACACTAAAAATGTAAAAATATAGCCAAAATGTACTTTAAACACATTGCAAACTGAGCTAATTTATAATTTCAGTATACACAATGTGTACTTTCACTATACACAAATAAAAAACAAATCAACAGCTTAAATTTTACAGGTGTATATTGCTTTAAAATGCTATAAATATAGAATTTACAAACAAAATTCACATTTAAATTGTTCAGTGATGTTCAGCAAATTTCATTATATAAGTTGTAGCTCTCTACAAAAACAGAGCAATTCTACTGCAAAGTGTAAATCAATAAATTTGTCATAAATAATAACATAAATACAAGTTTAAATCATAAAGTGAGCCAATTCAGTACTGAAATGCTTTAAAATAATTAACATAAAATCTTCCATTGCAAAATACATTTCACCTGCAACCAATTTACTTTTGCATCACACTAAGAATGAACAAACTAAACCAGCAGCTGATTTTTAAACATTGTAACACCGTTTTGGATTTAGAAAACACATCTCTGCAAAGATATCATTACAGCGTGCCTGCAATGTACACTGATAAACATTTCGCACATATTAAAAAATCGTCCTTAATTGTAACACGTGGAAGAAAGCCATTGACAAACAGTGTAAAATGAGCCGAGGAAGGCATCTTTACCCAAGTTGTGGTGTGGTCTCTGAACAATGGTGATTTACAGGGGACGGCAGCCTTTGTTTCAGTTCTTCATTGACTTTAGGATTAGCTGGAAATATATAGAAGGGGTATGATTAATTTCACTGCGGAAAAAAATGCTTTTCATTCACAGGCTCTAGCTCACTCCTTTTCCATTAGCCTTAGAAAGGTTAGTATTAATTACAGCCTGTCAATATGATCTCGGGGTGCTTGGTGGAGAGCAATCTTTAATAACGTCTGGAGTAGAGGCAGAAAACAAGACAGGCGGCTTTTAATTTGCTGTGTGAAATTATGCTTTAAGACTTTGTCTTTATCTCATCCACTGTGTACCAGTGCTTTACCTCACAGTTTATGAAGGACTAATGAACGCGGGCAATTAACAAAGCGTAATCCCACCATGCAATCGTTTTAATGCTTTTAGCTATCAGAAAAGTAAACAGCCATTTAATACAGCTCAAGCCATATCAGATCCTAGTCAGGAAGCGCCAATTAAAGCGTCATCTACTCAGGTGTAATTAAATAATGGTGGATAATTTAGTTCCGTGAACGGAAGCTAATTCATAAGCAAGCAACAAACGGACAGGAGGCAATTAGCAGGAACGCTGACATTCAGACGGCAGAGCCTGTTGATCGCTGGTGGTAGGAGTCGTGGTGGAGAGCTTCCCTCTAGTGGTGGAGCTTCTGAGACAAGAACTTCTTAACACAACACACACCGGGGGCTTACAAACGTAAACACTTACCATTTCAGTCCTGTCAACTGTAGGTGCTTTGCGGTGTCACATTTACAAACCAAATGAATGCAGAACATCTTCAAGCAAGGGACGGACTGAACCAGGCAAACGCAGAATGTTTCCCTCGTGTTTCCTGGTTGGTTCTTTTTTGGGAACCACTTTGGTTAGGAAAACCTCACAAATGTCTTCTAAAAGGTTCCCGCTTCCCACACCACCAGGATTTTCAACAAAAATCTGAGACTGCACTCACAAAGTGCAATTTCTAGCCAAAGCAATATTTTAGAGCTTAAAAAACACTTTCCCTGACATTTCATATTGTATTCATTCATATTATAGCATTTCCAATTGTAAAAATGACCTAATATTTCCAGTTGGAATCCTGTAATTTTTTTTTTCTTTTTAAGAGTGCAAAACATACAACATACGGTGAACACAAAACACAAAAACAGCAACAGAATCCCGCATCTTGGCTTAGAAAGCTCTTCTGGAATGAAAGATTTTGTTCTTCATGCATCTCTTAAACATTTTCAGTTTTCTGTGCTGAACTGCTCATTATGTTTAACTAAAAGACCTCATGAAGCCATTGGATTGACACATTTCGTTTTCTGTGTTGATGTACACTACCGTTCAAAAGATTGGGGTCAGTAAGATTTGTTTTTGAAAGAAATTAATACTTTTATTTAGCAAGGATGCATTAAATTGATGAAAAGCACTGTAACTGTAAAGACATTTATAGTGCTAAAAAACTATTCCTTTCAACTTTCTATTCATCAAAGAATTCTGAAAAAAATGTATCACAGTTCCCACAAAAATAACTGTTAAGAAATGTTCCTAAGCATCAAATCAGCATATTAGAATGATTTCTGAAGGATCACGTGACACTGAAAACTGCTGAAAATTCAACTTTGCCATCACAAGGAAAAAAATATAATTTAAAACCTATTCAAATAGAAAATGTTCTTTAATATATATATATATTTTTTTTACAGTACTGTTTTTATATAAATGCAGCATTTATGAGCATAAGAATCCTTAAAAAACAAATCTTTTGAATGGTAGTGGTCTACTTAAGAAATGGCAAAACATATCAAAATGTCTTTTTTAAATAATCAACAGGCTTTAGTTTAAATCATATCAGTGAATTATGACTTGCTACTTGCTATGTAGAAAGAATCTTGGACAAAACTGATCAAGATTGGACAAAAATCCAATTTTTGCTTATTTTATTTTATTATGTTTATTTATTTATTAAGGTTAATTTGATCAACCTTTAGGAGCACACTACCAAAGCACATAAATGACCACAAAGTTAACAGACATTTTTAAAAGCCACACTCTTAAAAACAAACGGTTCTTTATTGGCATCCATCATTTTTTATAGGAAAACTGTAAAAGATATTTAGATTATTAAAATGTTCTTCACACTTAGAAGAAAATGGTTATTTTAAGAACTCTTCACTGAAAGGTTCTTTGAGGAACCCAAAATGGTCCTGCTATGGCACTGCTGTGAAAACTTCCTTGTGAAACCCTTATTTTTAAGGGTGAAATTTTTTATTTTTTTTTCACCAACTATTTTTAATTCCCAGCATCTTTAAAGATGGTATATGTAAATAAGAAAAACCACAGGACAAAGCTCATGAAAACGATATAGGGGAGGACAGACAGCATGAGAGAAAGTTGGCAGAAGAGAGCTAAGAAGACATAAAAAGTGAGTGCTCTTGGGAGGTTGTGCGCGAGGCGGGTGGGGGTGACCCCTGGGGCAGATGCCAGTGGAACGTTATCCTCGCGCTGTAAGCCAGCACACACCGCTCACACTGCTCACACGCTATTCAGCTCAGACACAGTCAGGCGTGAACGGACAACTGGCTTTTTGTGCCAAACACCACAGGGCTCCATTAATCTCAGTGATAGACTCTGAGCGGGAGCTGGCCCCGCACACCGCACTTTCACAGAGAAAGAGAGGAGGACGAGGATGAAGAAAGACTTTAAAGATAGTAGGTACGGGACACTGAAAACTGCTGAAAATTCAACTTTGCCATCACAAGGAAAAAAATATAATTTAAAACCTATTCAAATAGAAAATGTTCTTTAATATATATATATATTTTTTTTACAGTACTGTTTTTATATAAATGCAGCATTTATGAGCATAAGAATCCTTAAAAAACAAATCTTTTGAATGGTAGTGGTCTACTTAAGAAATGGCAAAACATATCAAAATGTCTTTTTTAAATAATCAACAGGCTTTAGTTTAAATCATATCAGTGAATTATGACTTGCTACTTGCTATGTAGAAAGAATCTTGGACAAAACTGATCAAGATTGGACAAAAATCCAATTTTTGCTTATTTTATTTTATTATGTTTATTTATTTATTAAGGTTAATTTGATCAACCTTTAGGAGCACACTACCAAAGCACATAAATGACCACAAAGTTAACAGACATTTTTAAAAGCCACACTCTTAAAAACAAACGGTTCTTTATTGGCATCCATCATTTTTTATAGGAAAACTGTAAAAGATATTTAGATTATTAAAATGTTCTTCACACTTAGAAGAAAATGGTTATTTTAAGAACTCTTCACTGAAAGGTTCTTTGAGGAACCCAAAATGGTCCTGCTATGGCACTGCTGTGAAAACTTCCTTGTGAAACCCTTATTTTTAAGGGTGAAATTTTTTATTTTTTTTTCACCAACTATTTTTAATTCCCAGCATCTTTAAAGATGGTATATGTAAATAAGAAAAACCACAGGACAAAGCTCATGAAAACGATATAGGGGAGGACAGACAGCATGAGAGAAAGTTGGCAGAAGAGAGCTAAGAAGACATAAAAAGTGAGTGCTCTTGGGAGGTTGTGCGCGAGGCGGGTGGGGGTGACCCCTGGGGCAGATGCCAGTGGAACGTTATCCTCGCGCTGTAAGCCAGCACACACCGCTCACACTGCTCACACGCTATTCAGCTCAGACACAGTCAGGCGTGAACGGACAACTGGCTTTTTGTGCCAAACACCACAGGGCTCCATTAATCTCAGTGATAGACTCTGAGCGGGAGCTGGCCCCGCACACCGCATTTTCACAGAGAAAGAGAGGAGGACGAGGATGAAGAAAGACTTTAAAGATAGTAGGTACGGCTAAGACGCCTGGTAATCTGTTACCACTAACAAGAGAAAGCAGCTTTGGAAAAGACAGAAAGGGGGAAAAAAACAACACAAAGCATACAAACCTGACCTTTTGATGTTCACGTAATTTTCAGCGAGACACGTTAAACAGTTCCCAGAAAAGAGCGCTTTACCAAATAAATTTGGACCGATTCATTGATTGACACCGTTTCCTGAGAGAACCACCCCCAAGAAATTTAATGAAACTGATACTATCCAATAATCCGATATTGAAAAACAGGGAAGAGCTCGTTCTGGCTTAATGAAAGTTTGAATTGTGCTGAGTGGCAATAGGAGGCCTGTTTCATTGTGGCTCCTGCTCCAGATGGTGAATTAGCATCACATCTACATTTTCTGCATAATCTGCAGGAGTTTCATGATAGATTAATGAGCTATTAGCCTTGGTGCTCGCAGGGCAGTGACGAAAAACTACATTCACACCAAAGCTTGCAGAGCGTAACATGCTACAATGAAGCCAATAACCAGTCATTGTGTATAAACAGTGGCTCTACGGCTAGTTGAGGAGCTGATTTAAATCAAATCAGAGTTTAATTGCATTTTATTCCTCTTAAGCAAATGCTCAAATGATTACATGAATCACAAACCTAATAGCTAAACAGTTAAAAGTACCAAAAGATAAGTTAACGGTCACTGATTGAATTAAAGTGTGTGATTTTTTTTATGTTAAAATACTATGTCTTATTCCAGCTTCATATCCAGAAATTGTAATATATTCACAAGTTGACTGCCCAAAAATATATTAATATTGTGGCACACAGTAGCACTATCTCAACCAATGGTATGAGTTTAGGGCGGGACTATCTGTTTGACTGGCCAATGCAGACAGAGATATGTTCGGGAAACCTATTTGAGAACAATTACATAAAAACATTATTTTAGCAATTTCATTTTGTGATGCTAGTGGTGAATAAATCTAAGCTTAGGTTTTTCTTAAAAATTATATATTTACATTTACATTTAGTAATTTAGCAGACGCTTTTATCCAAAGCGACTTACAAATGAGGACAAAAATATAAAATATATCTATATCTATATAATATTAATACTCTATTATTTTTCTATACTGTGGTAATTACAATGTGAAAATGAGAGCAATTTAAAAACGTATCTGTCAACTCTCTAGACATGTGAAAAAGATACAAAAGAGGAAGCTTTTCCTT